TACAGCGGTCGCACGTCGCGCAGCAAGTGTCCATATGCTACATCATGTTACCGAGCGATGTTGAGACACAGTGGATATTGCGCCGGCTCACTTTCACTGGAGGCCGCTCCTAGACCCGCTCCCACGCTATACTGCGTCTGCGAATACTCTACAGACATAAGTCAGTTTACACTGGTTATAGGATATCAATCAATATAATATATTTTCCTTTTCTTTTATAAATTTTATAACTATGTAACTGTTAGACCAGCAGCATATATTTATCAATATAAAATATACAAATACCCAATGATTACATATAGTAACTAATAAAATATTAATATTTTAATCCCCAGACGGCATCGTTAAATTAAACAAGTATGTAGTATTAACAGATTTCATTTTCACGACGCAAAAATTGTATACAGTTCGTAAATATTTGCAATTCTGTATGAAAAACTTTGTTGTTCTAATATAATATTACTCCAGGCACGGACATTCTATCTCATCTCCTCGTGACACAACACACAAGCGCGTACTTAACTGAGGAACTAGCACGAGCCAACACCGTCAGGGAAGAACCAAAACCTGCTGATGAAGTAGAGCCTGTGAGTATCTACTAGTGATTACTCATACTGTTTTGCGATTATCTATATTAATAAAGAGGAAAGATTTGTTTGTTTATTTGTTATGAATAGGCTCCGAAACTACTGAACCGATTTCAAAAATTCTTTCACCTTTAGAAAGCTACATTATTCCCGAGTAATATAAGCTATATTATATTTAAATAGAAATTAGAGATCCTTACTAAAACTCCAATAATGTAAACCAAGGTGTAAAAAAATGATCTGAAAAATTCCTTACGTCGCGTGCACTGCGAAAACTATTGATGATAGAACCAAATCATTTACTACGACTTTGCAGAACTCATTATCATCTACAAAAAGTGTCGCGACAGCATATGTCTTAATATTATAGTTATGTCACAGCAAGCGGTTTATTATCCTAAAAATTTAATTTATATGCCGCCGCTTGAAAAGGCTCTTTATTTGTACCTTGGTATTAAACCTTATCAAAATAAATTACTTTATGTTCAAAACGGCTTCAATACCTTTTTATAACTCTTTGATTAGAAAAAAGTCGCGTGGTTGGCGCTCAACGCGCTCAGCTAGCCAGCATGCGATGTAGGCTCCATGTAAGCGTCACTGGGGTACGGGGGGGAGTCAATCACAACTAATATTATAAATGCGAAAGTAACTCTGTCTGTCTGTCTGTTACGCTTTCCCGCTTAAACCTCTCAAACGATTTTGATGAAATTTGGCACAGACAATTTTTAGACCCTGAGAAAAATATAGGCTACCTTTTATTGCGAAAAAGGGGATGAAGAGGTTGAAATAGGGGTTGAAAGTTTGTACGGTATTTCTGAATTTTAAAGGAGAAAACCATGAAACTTTATATTTAAGCACTTGATAGGATATATTTAAACATTTGATCTAGCGTTTTTGAAATTTCGACCAGTGAAGGGGTGAAATAAGGGTTGACAGTTTGTATGTTATTTCTTAATTTTAGAAGATAAAACCATGAAACTTTAAAATTATAGATCATTTAGTTTTGAAATAACTGAGATACGGAGTTTTGAGACAGCACATACGCGATTTTCTCATAGTGCATGTGGGAAGCCCCATACAAGGCCGTCTCAAAACCGTTTGACGTGAAAGTCATTGTTATGGAGTAAAAGTAATTAATTAATTTAGTCTTATAAATAAGCTTTCTTTTCTATATTTTAAACAAGTGTTTGTAAACCATAATGTATATAAAAAGGCATAGCTAACTCATGTTCAATGATATGATTTAGGCACAATACATTACTATAATTGAATGCCACATTACTCGAAAGTTTTTGATATAAATGTATAAGTATTATACATTTTTGAAATACTTATAATCTTCTCATAGCGTTTTTGTTAAATAATGTTATGTATAATAAATAAATTAATTAAAATTAACCACCATAGTTTAAATTGTATAATTTTCGGCTTACTTTTTTTTAATGAGACTTACCCGTTTACTGCTGTTTGCCGATGTCGAGATATTTATTGTATTATGATCTTTTTATATTAGTTTACACAAGGAGAAAAAAAAGTTGCGCATATTTGCGAATTTTCTGATACGGTGCCAAAACATATTTAAATATATTTATATTTATTTTTTAAATAAATGAATAGACATAATTTTCAAAATTATTATTTTTTATATTAAGACTTATACTTTCACATATATGTGTGCAAAATTATAGATCATTCAGTTTTGAAATAACTGAGATACAGAGTTTTGAGACAAACATACGCGATTGTCCCACTGTGCGCCGCTGCCGTCGGTCGTCGGTCGTCGGTAGCCGCACAGTGGGAAAGCCCCAAACAAGGCCGTCTCAAAACCCATTCACATGAAACTAATTCATTAATTTAGTCTTATAAATAAGCTTTCTTTTCTATATTTTTTAAATTATTATTTTTTGCAAACCATAATATATGTATATTAAAAGGCATCAAAGTTGACTCATGTTCAATGGTATTATTTTGGCCCAGTAGGTACATTATACTACAATTCAACGCCACATTACTTGAAAGTTTTACTAATATTATAAATGCAAAAGTAACTCTGTCGGTCTGTCTGTTACGCTTTCACGCCTAAACCACTGAACTGATTTTAATGAAATTTGGTACAGAAATAGAGTTGACCTTGAGAAAGAACATAGGATAGTTTTTATCCCAGACTGTTGAAAAGTTCTATTGGAAACGCGATATAACCGAAATCCACGCGTGCGAAGCCGCGGGTGGAAAGCTAGTATTATAATATACTATGACATTTGCCGCTCAGGCGCGAGGCACGATAGCTCAATAAGCTAAAATAGTGCCTAGTTTTAACAAAATAAGCCAAATTTTCATGTCACATAAAATTAAAATAAAATTTTCATGTCTTAATAACAATTTTATAGAACATATGTGCTCTTAATTCAAAACTCTTAAAGTAATTTAAAAACGGCTTAAATAAACATGCGTTTGTAAGGAGGAATTCATTTATTTCAGTTTCAATATTAATTTTAAAGGTCACATCAAATAGTATACTACATAGAAGAAATTAAAATCATCGTATATCTGTCTTCAGATGATTCCAGTGTACGCTGAAGGCTGTGAGCTGACGGCCAACGTGCTCTTCTACATGGACCATCTCAAACAACACCAGGACAAGGAGCTGGAGATTAAATGTACGAGATGTGTGCTGAGATTCGTACGTCTCGGTGAATAATACAACTGTAAGTACTATAATATAAACAGATGAAACTAATATTTTCGGACTGTTTCGCGTATTTTATTATTTTAAAAAAACTATTATATATACATCCGACGTTTCGGTTACTTGTCAGCAACCAAGCGTCAGCGTCGGGAGTTTTTATCAAAAATCAAGTCGCGTAGTATATCCGAAAAATATTAGTTTCATTTACAATAAAATGAGTTCAATACACACATTGATACGTATAATATTTTTCAGATCAACTGAAAGAGCATCAGATTCGAGACCACAACCCGTTCGAGGAGGTTCTACCTCTGTGTTCTACTGAGCACTTGATTAACCTGCCCAATTTATGTACGTCATATAACTCTACTGCTACTTGTATATACTGCTACTTATTTATCTAAAATTAACAAACTGCAATTATATAATAATATATTATTTTCAGAACAAAGCCCGCCCTCCCATCAAGGACGTCGCGTGTCACGCCATCAGCGACACGTATGAAGGTGTCACGTTGGTCATACAAGAGGGTCTTCTATGTCGCGAGTGTGACACGCCGCTTGACAGTGACAAACACTTCCTCTTAGTATAACCACTTGATAAAACGACGCTGCAAACATTGAATACAATCAGATTTATTGAATGTCAGTAAAGAGACGTAGTTTTTCCTTTATCGTGTTGAGAACACTCATTAATTTTTACAAAAAGAATGTTATTTTAGTAGCCCTTATTATATTGTGATATCATTTTTTTAATATTTCTATATTTTCTAATGAAGAAAGATTAGATAAATAATATACCAAATGTTTAATACATACTAAAGTATAATTTTAATATGCTCAATATACAGCGGTCGCACGTCGCGCAGCAAGTGTCCATATGCTACATCATGTTACCGAGCGATGTTGAGACACAGTGGATATTGCGCCGGCTCACTTTCACTGGAGGCCGCTCCTAGACCCGCTCCCACGCTATACTGCGTCTGCGAATACTCTACAGACATAAGTCAGTTTACACTGATTATAGGATATCAATCAATATAATATATTTTCCTTTTCTTTTATAAATTTTATAACTATGTAACTGTTAGACCAGCAGCATATATTTATCAATATAAAATATACAAATACCCAATGATTACATATAGTAACTAATAAAATATTAATATTTTAATCCCCAGACGGCATCGTTAAATTAAACAAGTATGTAGTATTAACAGATTTCATTTTCACGACGCAAAAATTGTATACAGTTCGTAAATATTTGCAATTCGGTATGAAAAACTTTGTTGTTCTAATATAATATTACTCCAGGCACGGACATTCTATCTCATCTCCTCGTAACACAACACACAAGCGCGTACTTAACTGAGGAACTAGCACGAGCCAACACCGTCAGGGAAGAACCAAAACCTGCTGATGAAGTAGAGCCTGTGAGTATCTACTAGTGATTACTCATACTGTTTTGCGATTATCTATATTAATAAAGAGGAAAGATTTGTTTGTTTATTTGTTATGAATAGGCTCCGAAACTACTGAACCGATTTCAAAAAATTCTTTCACCTTTAGAAAGCTACATTATTCCCGAGTAATATAAGCTATATTATATTTAAATAGAAATTAGAGATCCTTACTAAAACTCCAATAATGTAAACCAGGTGTAAAAAAATGATCTGAAAAATTCCTTACGTCGCGTGCACTGCGAAAACTATTGATGATAGAACCAAATCATTTACTACGACTTTGCACCAAATTATTAATGGAATTTTTAACATAATTGATCTCTGCATTTGTTACATCAGTTGTCTCTTTGACGAAGCGAAATCTTATTGGACCACAAAATCGGGCAGATGAAGGTGTTGGATTTTCCCATAACACCTTTTGATTGTCCTTACCGCAAATAAGTCGCACAGGTACAAAGCAGCTTTGAAAAATATTTGCATCAGAGTCAGCCTCATTTTGAAGTTTTTGTTTGTACTGTGCTTGTTGGGATCCATCGCAGCCCCATTTACATATCAACTTCAAAGTGTTCCGCTCTTGCTCTTTTATTGTCAATAAGACTTCTTCTAAGAATTCCGATAAGCGCTTAACAGTAATATCAATTAATGGTTGCAGTTGGGTTTCCGCGCAGGTACTCGTTATCGTGATCGTTTCTGGAGGAGGATAACATTTCTTTTTGGCTTCTTGAATTAGGCTATAACACGGGAAAAACTTCTTGTTCGTGTTTCTTATAACTTCATACTGTGCTCGTGTTAAATCTGCATCTATAAACATTTTTAAAGCTTCCATGGGGGTTAGACGCGATGATTTTCCACACTTAGAGGTATCGAAAGCTTTTTTGTACTTCGTTGCACGCGTCGGAGAGCTTGTTATATCTTGGAGAACGCGGGAAGCATCACGTTTTCCGATTTTCTCAGTTCAACTTGAGCTGCGTGAACTATAACACCATCTTCTACATTGGAGCGGATCTCTTCAGTTTTTCTTCTTTTGCTCCTTTCGCTAGATTCACCAAATGATTTACGAGGGCGACCTTGACGATTTTTAGTTGTGACTGGAATTTCGAAATTGCCTTCCAGCCAAAGATGGTTGTTTGTTAAGAAAACCTCTTCTTTTTGTGCGATTTAATCCACCTTTGCTTCATTTCTGATTTGAAATGTGAAAAATTGCGTTTCAGTTTATTTAACTGACTTTCACTAAGGTTGTCTTGAGTTAAAAGGTGGTCTCTCAAAAAACATAGCTTTTTTTCTAAATTACGTAAATTTTCATTCTTCATCTTATCGAAGAGTGATTTACGAGTCACTATTCTCACTCCAGAGGAACCCTCTGAACCTAAAACAAAATTTAAACATAAATTACTATTTCACTAATTTCGATTGTAAAAAATCAAAGTACTCTGCTTTAACGTATCTGCGCTATTCCGCGGCTAATTTATATAGGATTCGTTACTTAAGAATCTACTTTTTAAATATGAATGACAAAAAAAGCCGGATCTACCCCGATACTAAAACAAATACATCTTTAAAGATAAAATTTCTTTAAAAAATCTTCTCATTTTAGACATTATTCCTCGGTCACTAAAAATATATGAAACAAAATTAAATTTTATTTATTATATAACATTTAGATTGTCACATACCTGTAGTCTCCGAATCCATTGCTTCTTTGCACCAGGTTAACACAGAAAACTGCAGTTTAGCTCACAATTTTAATGCTTTCTATAAATCGCCGATAACTGACAAATGCACAAAGTTCGATGATCAAATTCCGACTGAGTTTGCCAGATAACGCGCAACGGGAGAGGGGCGGGGACGGCGGCCTATTGTTCGTTGGAGTGTCCCCTGCATTAGGTAGTCGAATGCGGTAGCATTTTTGTAACTTTGTTATTTTGACTTTTGGCCGCGTAGATAATTAAAATACCCGTCTGTGCAGCGGTCGCACGTCGCGCAGCAAGTGTCCATATGCTACATCATGTTACCGAGCGATGTTGAGACACAGTGGATATTGCGCCGGCTCACTTTCACTGGAGGCCGCTCCTAGACCCGCTCCCACGCTATACTGCGTCTGCGAATACTCTACAGACATAAGTCAGTTTACACTGGTTATAGGATATCAATCAATATAATATATTTTCCTTTTCTTTTATAAATTTTATAACTATGTAACTGTTAGACCAGCAGCATATATTTATCAATATAAAATATACAAATACCCAATGATTACATATAGTAACTAATAAAATATTAATATTTTAATCCCCAGACGGCATCGTTAAATTAAACAAGTATGTAGTATTAACAGATTTCATTTTCACGACGCAAAAATTGTATACAGTTCGTAAATATTTGCAATTCTGTATGAAAAACTTTGTTGTTCTAATATAATATTACTCCAGGCACGGACATTCTATCTCATCTCCTCGTGACACAACACACAAGCGCGTACTTAACTGAGGAACTAGCACGAGCCAACACCGTCAGGGAAGAACCAAAACCTGCTGATGAAGTAGAGCCTGTGAGTATCTACTAGTGATTACTCATACTGTTTTGCGATTATCTATATTAATAAAGAGGAAAGATTTGTTTGTTTATTTGTTATGAATAGGCTCCGAAACTACTGAACCGATTTCAAAAATTCTTTCACCTTTAGAAAGCTACATTATTCCCGAGTAATATAAGCTATATTATATTTAAATAGAAATTAGAGATCCTTACTAAAACTCCAATAATGTAAACCAAGGTGTAAAAAAATGATCTGAAAAATTCCTTACGTCGCGTGCACTGCGAAAACTATTGATGATAGAACCAAATCATTTACTACGACTTTGCAGAACTCATTATCATCTACAAAAAGTGTCGCGACAGCATATGTCTTAATATTATAGTTATGTCACAGCAAGCGGTTTATTATCCTAAAAATTTAATTTATATGCCGCCGCTTGAAAAGGCTCTTTATTTGTACCTTGGTATTAAACCTTATCAAAATAAATTACTTTATGTTCAAAACGGCTTCAATACCTTTTTATAACTCTTTGATTAGAAAAAAGTCGCGTGGTTGGCGCTCAACGCGCTCAGCTAGCCAGCATGCGATGTAGGCTCCATGTAAGCGTCACTGGGGTACGGGGGGGAGTCAATCACAACTAATATTATAAATGCGAAAGTAACTCTGTCTGTCTGTCTGTTACGCTTTCCCGCTTAAACCTCTCAAACGATTTTGATGAAATTTGGCACAGACAATTTTTAGACCCTGAGAAAAATATAGGCTACCTTTTATTGCGAAAAAGGGGATGAAGAGGTTGAAATAGGGGTTGAAAGTTTGTACGGTATTTCTGAATTTTAAAGGAGAAAACCATGAAACTTTATATTTAAGCACTTGATAGGATATATTTTAAACATTTGATCTAGCGTTTTTGAAATTTCGACCAGTGAAGGGGTGAAATAAGGGTTGACAGTTTGTATGTTATTTCTTAATTTTAGAAGATAAAACCATGAAACTTTTAAAATTATAGATCATTTAGTTTTGAAATAACTGAGATACGGAGTTTTGAGACAGCACATACGCGATTTTCTCATAGTGCATGTGGGAAGCCCCATACAAGGCCGTCTCAAAACCGTTTGACGTGAAAGTCATTGTTATGGAGTAAAAGTAATTAATTAATTTAGTCTTATAAATAAGCTTTCTTTTCTATATTTTAAACAAGTGTTTGTAAACCATAATGTATATAAAAAGGCATAGCTAACTCATGTTCAATGATATGATTTAGGCACAATACATTACTATAATTGAATGCCACATTACTCGAAAGTTTTTGATATAAATGTATAAGTATTATACATTTTTGAAATACTTATAATCTTCTCATAGCGTTTTTGTTAAATAATGTTATGTATAATAAATAAATTAATTAAAATTAACCACCATAGTTTAAATTGTATAATTTTCGGCTTACTTTTTTTTAATGAGACTTACCCGTTTACTGCTGTTTGCCGATGTCGAGATATTTATTGTATTATGATCTTTTTATATTAGTTTACACAAGGAGAAAAAAAAGTTGCGCATATTTGCGAATTTTCTGATACGGTGCCAAAACATATTTAAATATATTTATATTTATTTTTTAAATAAATGAATAGACATAATTTTCAAAATTATTATTTTTTATATTAAGACTTATACTTTCACATATATGTGTGCAAAATTTATAGATCATTCAGTTTTGAAATAACTGAGATACAGAGTTTTGAGACAAACATACGCGATTGTCCCACTGTGCGCCGCTGCCGTCGGTCGTCGGTCGTCGGTAGCCGCACAGTGGGAAAGCCCCAAACAAGGCCGTCTCAAAACCCATTCACATGAAACTAATTCATTAATTTAGTCTTATAAATAAGCTTTCTTTTCTATATTTTTTAAATTATTATTTTTTGCAAACCATAATATATGTATATTAAAAGGCATCAAAGTTGACTCATGTTCAATGGTATTATTTTGGCCCAGTAGGTACATTATACTACAATTCAACGCCACATTACTTGAAAGTTTTACTAATATTATAAATGCAAAAGTAACTCTGTCGGTCTGTCTGTTACGCTTTCACGCCTAAACCACTGAACTGATTTTAATGAAATTTGGTACAGAAATAGAGTTGACCTTGAGAAAGAACATAGGATAGTTTTTATCCCAGACTGTTGAAAGGTTCTATTGGAAACGCGATATAACCGAAATCCACGCGTGCGAAGCCGCGGGTGGAAAGCTAGTATTATAATATACTATGACATTTGCCGCTCAGGCGCGAGGCACGATAGCTCAATAAGCTAAAATAGTGCCTAGTTTTAACAAAATAAGCCAAATTTTCATGTCACATAAAATTAAAATAAAATTTTCATGTCTTAATAACAATTTTATAGAACATATGTGCTCTTAATTCAAAACTCTTAAAGTAATTTAAAAATGGCTTAAATAAACATGCGTTTGTAAGGAGGAATTCATTTATTTCAGTTTCAATATTAATTTTAAAGGTCACATCAAATAGTATACTACATAGAAGAAATTAAAATCATCGTATATCTGTCTTCAGATGATTCCAGTGTACGCTGAAGGCTGTGAGCTGACGGCCAACGTGCTCTTCTACATGGACCATCTCAAACAACACCAGGACAAGGAGCTGGAGATTAAATGTACGAGATGTGTGCTGAGATTCGTACGTCTCGGTGAATAATACAACTGTAAGTACTATAATATAAACAGATGAAACTAATATTTTCGGACTGTTTCGCGTATTTTATTATTTTAAAAACTATTATATATACATCCGACGTTTCGGTTACTTGTCAGCAACCAAGCGTCAGCGTCGGGAGTTTTTATCAAAAATCAAGTCGCGTAGTATATCCGAAAAATATTAGTTTCATTTACAATAAAATGAGTTCAATACACACATTGATACGTATAATATTTTTCAGATCAACTGAAAGAGCATCAGATTCGAGACCACAACCCGTTCGAGGAGGTTCTACCTCTGTGTTCTACTGAGCACTTGATTAACCTGCCCAATTTATGTACGTCATATAACTCTACTGCTACTTGTATATACTGCTACTTATTTATCTACAATTAACAAACTGCAATTATATAATAATATACTATTTTCAGAACAAAGCCCGCCCTCCCATCAAGGACGTCGCGTGTCACGCCATCAGCGACACGTATGAAGGTGTCACGTTGGTCATACAAGAGGGTCTTCTATGTCGCGAGTGTGACACGCCGCTTGACAGTGACAAACACTTCCTGTTAGTATAACCACTTGATAAAACGACGCTGCAAACATTGAATACAATCAGATTTATTGAATGTCAGTAAAGAGACGTAGTTTTTCCTTTATCGTGTTGAGAACACTCATTAATTTTTACAAAAAGAATGTTATTTTAGTAGCCCTTATTATATTGTGATATCATCTTTTTAATATTTCTATATTTTCTAATGAAGAAAGATTAGATAAATAATATACCAAATGTTTAATACATACTAAAGTATAATTTTAATATGCTCAATATACAGCGGTCGCACGTCGCGCAGCAAGTGTCCATATGCTACATCATGTTACCGAGCGATGTTGAGACACAGTGGATATTGCGCCGGCTCACTTTCACTGGAGGCCGCTCCTAGACCCGCTCCCACGCTATACTGCGTCTGCGAATACTCTACAGACATAAGTCAGTTTACACTGGTTATAGGATATCAATCAATATAATATATTTTCCTTTTCTTTTATAAATTTTATAACTATGTAACTGTTAGACCAGCAGCATATATTTATCAATATAAAATATACAAATACCCAATGATTACATATAGTAACTAATAAAATATTAATATTTTAATCCCCAGACGGCATCGTTAAATTAAACAAGTATGTAGTATTAACAGATTTCATTTTCACGACGCAAAAATTGTATACAGTTCGTAAATATTTGCAATTCTGTATGAAAAACTTTGTTGTTCTAATATAATATTACTCCAGGCACGGACATTCTATCTCATCTCCTCGTGACACAACACACAAGCGCGTACTTAACTGAGGAACTAGCACGAGCCAACACCGTCAGGGAAGAACCAAAACCTGCTGATGAAGTAGAGCCTGTGAGTATCTACTAGTGATTACTCATACTGTTTTGCGATTATCTATATTAATAAAGAGGAA